GCACTTACCTGTTGTAGGACACGTTGGTACTGCTTGCCTGAACCCCATCAGTAACAGCATACTATTGCTCACCTTTCAGAGTGGTCAGGAAGATAAAGCGACACACTCGGACAATTTGAAAATTGTCCATTAACCAACCCCCCTGTATGACTGTAGATCACTATCCGCCTAATGGGGTTTCCGATGTCAGAAGGTCGGACCACTGTCCTGCTCACCATTACACCCAAGCTTCAAATGAGACACACTGGATAGCGTGTACATGATGAAGCTGGATCCGTGAATGACACGGCAGCCCATGTCCTACTCAAAATGTGATGGTCCAGACGGGACTGGAGATGATCTGTCATTGCCTGTTACCTGGTTAGACAGTCCCTTTCGAATGAGTCCATTCGCTAAGCACCTGCTATCAGTCAGGCACCGGAAACAAAGGCAAAGCTTGTACTAAGGAATCTAAGGCTCCAAGACGAGATGAACAAAAGAGACTGTTTCAATACAAAGTTGTGAGTACAACTTTCCCGTGTCTGGGGGTGGAAGGGGAGGCAGTAGTAGAACACAGAAATTAACCCAATTTGCAGAGGTGGGGGCTGTGAAGAGAGTCCCCAGAGAAGATGACGTCTGAGCAGAGGCTTAGAGGCTAAGAGTTGGGAGTGACAGGATTCAAGGTGGAAGGAACAGCATTCGCAAGGTACAGTCATGAGGTGTGAGGCGAGCAGTTTGCTATTACTGTTTCAACAGACGGGTGAGGAGTCGGGATGGACTATGCTAGAGCAAAGAGACAGAAGCACAGTGCCCAGCCCTGTGTGGAACGACACTTCAGATGTGGCTGCAGAAAGACAAGAGCAAGTGCGGCAAGGGTTGTGGAGGTCAGAGAGAGCACCTCTGAGCAAGAGAAGACATTCCTGCAAGACAGTGTCAGGAGAAATCATGAAGGAAGCCAAGCTGAGCAGAACTATTGACTGCTCGGATATGGGTGGCAAGGCAGAGAAGAGTCGTGGCTGATATTCACACACGTTCTCACCCTTAGCAAAAGGAAACTTGAGAGGGAGGGGAAGTTGTGCATTCCAGGAGTGATGGTCAAAGATAAATTTGACTTTTTTGTCATGTGGAGTTTGAACTGTGCATGGAATATCCACACTGAAGTTGTCAGGGCAGAAATGCGTACAAATAGTCTGAGCTGTCTTCAGGGTCAACAGCACTAGAAGATTTGACAGAATGAGGTGATTCTAGGAGACTTAAGTGAGAAAAGTAGGGAGCAGAGAAGAGACCCCTGAGCAACACCAACACCCAACAGGAACAGAAAAATGAGACGGCAAGAACAGTCACCATGCAGTAGATAAAGGTCACCGGGATGGAGAATGGAAAGCATCCATGTCACAGCCAAAATGCCCCGTGTCAGCAGCTAACTAAATCCACTCATCATGGGTTTAAACAGAAGGCTTTTACTGAGGGCACTGGATCATCTTTAAGAGGCCACAGACACAGCCAGGAAGGGGTGAGTACCATGAGAACATGTAGCCTTCACCATAGGACTGTTATCAGGGAACAGTCAGATACCTCTCTGCTCTGCTTATGCCTGGAGACAGGTATTACAGGCTCTTCCAGGCGTGCAGCAGGGGAATCACCCCAGCCACTGTACCTATAAGAGCCTCAGTGAAAGATGGTTTTGTCCCAACCACATAACTGAAGGTTCACCTTTGGATACCCCAAGTCAACATTACCATGAGTGAGATCAAAGGGAGGCTTCTGTGCAGAAGAATCAATGAAATGAAGATGGGAGTCCAAAACACCAAAAACAAACAAACAACCCACCCTCAAAAAAACCCAAAGGTAGGAATAATCTTTATTACTTGGAGACACATCATAAAAAATGTTAGCAGTAAGATGAAGAGGCCCAGAACACATTTATTTAGATGCAGTACATACACACTGGGGATCAGAACACCTGCTGAAATGGAACACACCCGTAAACATGCATCTTGTGGGGAGTTTATAGGTAGGTGGTCTACTCCCCTGTGCAAGTGTGCAGAGGATCCCCTCTTCCTCAAGAGACTTTCATAGAACCAAAAAGGCCAGATTTTAGCAAGAGATGTTATGAACACAGGCCCAAGGGCTTAAAAGGAACCAAATTATAATCACATATATCAAAGTGACACAAAATTAACTGATTGCACAAAAACACAAATGGAAGAGCATCCTGGGACTGCCTATGAAGACATAAAGAGCTTAGAAGCACTACTTGAATTGGGGTAAATAAATACTTTGGTACAAGTTTCACTCTAAAAGACAACATATTGCTTTGGGGTCCTACAGAAGGAGGGGGGTCATACACATCCCTCTGTGCAACACAATGCTTTGGCACGACCTGCAGAAACCTGGCAGGCTCTCCTGTGCGGCCCCACTTCATCTTGACTGCACGCTGCTGTTCAAAGGAGTTAAGTCTAAGGATGGAATCCAGCCTCTACTCTGACAGCAGTCACAGCGGTGTCTTCTGAAATCACACAGGTTAGCAGCACCGATCACTGAGGCATTACAAATCATCCTTATGTTTGAGAAGTAAACTCCAGCAAAACATGCTATGCAACTGGTGATCAGCATCGAGGCTCAATTCCACACTGGCTAACCCATTTAAGAGATGGAAAACTCCAAGCCTCTCCAGATTGATATAATACCTAATGAGTTTTATAATCTTTACTGAGCTTCTGTTACAGAAGGGGTATTATACAGTTGTCCTTACGGGGAGTTAGTCTGAACGCATGTTCTCAGCCCAAATGAGAAGTGAAACCTTAATAGATCACAGAATAGAAAGGACCTTGGGGATCACTTAGCCCAGCCCATTATTTTCAGGGAGAAATGAAACCAAAGAAAGGGGAATGATCTAGCTAAGGTCACACAGCAAGGTGGGCTGGTCCCTGTCAATCTCCATTCCTACGACAGTCCTATGTGCTAAGCTATTTCCCCAAGCTTTTGGTTTTATTGGTTTGCTTTATGTGGCCCCACTGGTTAAATGGCAAAACTATCAGGTGCATAGCACGATGGTAGAGACTATTACTTCAGTCTTAAAAATCAGCATATCAAAATGATTCCTGAGCCTTTAGCTACCTTCATTATTGAGAATGCAGTCCACAGTAAATCATGGCTATCTACGGTCGTTATCTTCAAATGTTTACACGGACACTAAAAGCGCTAATGACTCTTGTACAAAAACATCCATGTGATGCCAGGACGCTTGTCACGGAACGCAATGGCACCATGGTGGTGACCAGAAGAGGCTTCAGTCTCTCAAAGTGCGGTCATGAGTTTGTCCCGGTATGTGACACTGTACGCCCCTCCTAAGTTCCTCTGGTTCTGGTCGTGGACATAGTCAAAGTGGCCGTCATCTCCACTGGCTGAGGCTTTCCAGTGTGGCCTGTCATCCTGAAAAGATGGCTTGTTTTGTTTGCAGATGGAATGGTTACTGGGAGAATGGAAGACAATTCAGAAATAAGCAAGGCCAAGCATGCATACACAAAGGAAATGGGGGTGGAGGGGGGTAAGGAGTGAGTGGGGTGATTGACACAGAAGTAGCCTGGTGACTTCAGGAGGTTAAAAACCCCGGTGTGACCGTCTACCAACTTTGAAGCTCATAAAAGCTGTTTCTGGCAAAGTCATGCTTTTATAAGGAACGTCCAGCGGTCAGGTCAGTCTAGGGAAAGCTAGATGAGGGGAAGCCCCTTTAAATCTGATGTGCATGGCTATGGTTTTAGACCAATCAACTCTCCTCAGGATGCAGCTCTAGAGAGCTCTGTAACACAGAGTACTGGGTGCTACCTGGGTTCCATGACAGGTCTGGCATGGGGCTGAGTCGTGGTTCTCAGGGGACACTCAATCCTAGCACCAGCATGGCCATCAGAGAACCTGATGCCTTGGGGTGAAGAATTGGTGAGGGATTGCCATGGAGGGAAAAATACTCAACAGAACAGGCAATACCAGGTATGAAATCTGGTTACAACAAAGATCACATGATGGCACCTTGTCTAATGACCTCATGAGTACCTGTCATGTCTGAAAACCAAACTACCTTTGCCTGAGCCACATAAAGATTTAGAATTATCACCCCACTAACTTAATTTGCCCTGAGTATCAAAGTGCTACTACCAGAAGACTGCACTGCTGTGTCACATGGTCCCCTGACAAGCTTCTGCCTAACTTGCTCAAGCTACATTTGATTCTCCTCCTCCTCCTCCTCCTCCTCCTCCTCCTCCTCCTCCTCCTCCTCTTCTTCCTCCTCCTCCTCCTCTTCCATGCTCCCTCAGAAGCAAAGGCTCGAATCTCCTCCTTGGAACAGCCTGAAGTCACCAACCATGCTTCTGAAATAGCTGGATGCATAAATGCCCATCAAGACTCATAAAAGTGCAAATGCAAATCTTAAGGACATGTCTGCTCCCCAGGGGTGGCCCTGACTCCATAGCATGGCAGGTGCCAGGTCACTCCTGGGGCAGCGGCAGGGGACACTGACATCCCTATAGCCAAATCCCACTTATTGTAAATTGAGTTTCACTGGAATACAGTCATGTGTTCTCATGCAAAGCCTCAAAATACAGCCTCTCTTTTGCTGAACACTGTCACCAAAGAAAACATTGCCCTCATTCCTAAGGGGTAAAAATCCTTAAAACAAAACAAAACCTTAAAAAAAAAAAGAAAAGAAAGAAAAAGAAACCATAATCGCCACAGCTTTAATCACATTCCAAGAACACAAATTCTCAAAATAAGAAAATGTTACTTGGAAATCTTAAGCAACATCTCTGATATAAAACCAAACCAAAATATTTGTGGTTAGAATTAAAAGAAAAAATCTGTTCTTTCACAGACTGGCCACTTGCTTCCTTTGCTGTGAAACACATCTGGTTTTGCCCTGGTCATGTCCCCCTAAGGAGTTTTTCCTGTGGTCTGGAGTGGGACCTTCCAGGGGACAGGAAAACTTCTCAAAGCAGGGCTCTCTCACTAAAAGCTCACAAACTCACCTGACATTTGGAGAGTGAGGGCGCCACCGGGGCTGGCTGGGGTGGACGTTAGGATGGTACTGAGGCTGGAAAGGAAACACCAAACCTGATTACTCAGTGACCTTTGGATTTCAATGGCTGTCATGCAGTTTGCTTTCTCCTGCGATGGCACCCACCTCAGAAGCTGAGGGGGCTATGAATAGGAAGCTGTAACCAAGCCCTGGGGGGAGGGGCAGCTGGACCTTTCCCAGGATGATCTTGTTTCTTCACTAACAAAGGCTGGGGGTTGGGGGCAGGAACCTAGTGTTTGGCTCACCAAATACCATCTCCAGAGAAGGGGCTGGGAGGCAAGGTGCCACATCTGACTCAAAGGAGGCTACCCAGCATGCCCTGGCCAGACAACACCCCTCTCACGAGGAAGATGGAGTGAGTGGCTTCTCTCTTCAGAAGCCACTTTTGTTGGTTTTAAGATGACTACAGGCACATGTAACAACCTTGCTACATTGGCACACACACAGAACTGGAAGGACAGAGTAATGAAAGCAAGTGTCATGGGTGCATAAACAATAGCAGCATCAGGAGGACCTATTACTTTGATGAGACTGGACATATGCGTGGACTGAAGGAAGGAGGGTGGGAAAATGTTCCCTAGATGATTAGGAAACCAGTGTGACCGCCTGGATGGACCTAGGAGGAGAGCTGGCTGTCATTCCACTTCCCACCTGCAGAGGACAGAAGCCCTGGACATTGTCAGAAGCCGTGAGGTGTCTCAAGGCTAAACTCACTATGGGGTAAAATTTGCTCCCCCTAACCTGAAAGTCACTTCAATTGTGCCACCATTAATCTTTTAATTATTTCTTTCCTTCCTCCTTGCCCCTGCTGCTGTGGTTAATAAGCAGTGGCCTGCTTTCTGTTACAGAAATTCTCAGCAATCCAATCTTCACTGCCCTGCATTGCCCTCATGCTGTCTGTCTATTCTGTATTCCAGTAGCCTTTCTTTCCTCCTTCAAAGTGCCTGTCAGCAAGCTGAGGCTGTACCCCCAGAGGACATGGTGCCGAAAGTGGGATCTGTAGGGGTATGTCTGTAGGACCTCATCCCTGACCTGGTGCAACCTTCTCTTTGTCTCTTTTTGGGTATACCAAAAGCCATGCATTCTGGGTAGTTAGCTCAAAGCCAGTCATTCCCAGGCTCCCCACACTGAGACTCCAACAAGAGAGAATGACTAACTTACAACTGGGCCCTCTAGTCTTTTCTGCTTTTAAACACACTTGGATTCACCAAAGAGAGGGGTAGAAACTTCATCCACAGACTTGGAAAAAACGGAGATTCCAGAACCTTCCTTGGTATATCTCCTACTTTAACACAAACTCAGGTCTCAGTCCACAATGAAGAATGCATGTTCATCTCTTTGCTTGTCACAACTAACAGAAAAAAGGAGTCAAGAGTACTGGGATTTATTTTGGGGACAATGAAGAACTAACTGTCCCACCTCAAATGGTAAGTGTCCTCGTGGAGAACATGGCTGTCTGCCCTCGATGGCTGGCTGACTCTGCAGCTCTAAGAATGAACAATGCTGCTGTGCCGTCCTCTCCCAACAACCCTTCACAGCATCGCGATGTGTCCAGTCCACTTATATCCAAACCCTGATGGGATGATACAGGGCCACTAGGACTGGCCAAGTACAAGGGGTTCCTAGCAACAATGTGGAGTGATCCAAGACTTGAGTATCAGCAAATCTGCCATGAAAGCACAGGCCTGGATGTTCATTCGGAGCAGATGCACGGGGAGGCAGAGGAGAGCAGGGTCAGGGTAGGTGGGGCTGTTTTACTTTCTTATTTTCATTCTCTCTCCTCCAAGGGCTGGTCACCCATCAACAGTGTTTCTTTCCCTACAACACTCTAGTTTCACCGGACATCTCTAAACAAAAAGCAGTCTGTGAATAAGAAGCCCAAGACCCTAAGGAAAATGAGAGGGGAAATGATATTCTTTCCAACCGGTTCAACACTAGGAGTGCGAATTCACTCATAGAAGTTCTTTAGAAACAATCTGGAACCTCCTGGACCACAACCAATGGCAACTCGGTCATCTACAGAAATAACAGGCCAGGGAAGAGGGGCAGTTAGAATAAAGTTTAATGCTGAAATCATTTATGGGGCAGCATTGTGATCTGTGACAATCACAGACAGACACAAGGGGAGCTTGCTTCAGATGCTTGTCCAGGACAAGGTTTCACACATTGGAGGTTGCTCAACAATGTGATGCTGTGTGAGGTGGTTAGCTCTTCGTCGGGTCTTCAGAGGGACCCTGGGTAGTTCTCCTGAACCCTCATGTACTGGCTCCCCACCTCACCACGTAATCTCTCCCTCCACATACATCCTTGCTCTTACAGATCCCTTACCAGAGCTGAGCGGAGACCAGTCTACTCTTGAACCTCCAGAGCTATGAATTAAATGAACTTATTTTACTTTACAAAGTAGACAGTACTGGGTATTTTGTCACAGCAATGGGTCGGGGATGGGGGGAGACTAATGTAGGACTCCAAGATACGAGTCGCTTTTAAGCAGAAACAAATGACCATCTGGAAGCCAGGCACATACCATCCATCCAGAGTCACCATAGGATCTCTGAAGTCTACAGATGCCAAATTCCTGCTCAAGTGTGTTAGGATAAGGTGGTTATTCGGTTAATGCTGGCCACATGGTTTTAACACAAAGAGCTGAATCCTGAGCTGAATCCCACTGAAGCTGGGAGTTTTCAACTTAAATGAAAAGGAGGAGTGGCTACCAATGTGGAAGATACTATAGCAAGCAGATAAGAGGCAAAGAACTTCAGGTGGACAAGCATGGGCAAGCAGCACTAACAGGAACCTAAGGGCAACTACTTACTACACAGCTGCTGGGAGCTGAACAGAGCTCCTGACAGGAGCAGCGGGGGCAGATGTAAGGAGTCAGGACGGGCTGTGGAAGGCCAGACAGGACAACCCACAGCAGCTGCGGAGGGGCTGGCTAGCTACTGTGTGGACTGGGAGGGCTTTGGCAGTGATGGGTGGGCAGGTGGAAGGCATAGGCCCTGGTTGATACTGCTTCGAAGGAACACAACGCTGGGCAAGGAAACTGAATGGCGTGGACCTGATGTTTAACAAAATGGGTTCAAGAGATAAATGACGTTTCCACTGATGTGAGTAGGTTTGTCATGAAAAGGGGCTGGAGAAAGAACTAAAAACAACAACAACAACAACAAAATCACCTCTGGGCATGGTGGCCTGTGCCTTTAATCCCAGCACTTAAAGAGGCAGAGGAAGGTGGATCTCTGTGAGTTAAAGATTAGAACTCACTAGTCTACAGAGTGAGTTTCACAACATCCAGAGCCAGATCTCAAACAAACAAACAAACCTTTCCTGGCAGTTTTCTCAGTATTTTTGTACCCCAGCAGGCCCAGTCATGCCCCCAAAAGACAAATTAAGGAAGTGGAGTCTCTAGGCTGGGTGGTGGTGGCGAACGCCTTTAATCCCAGCACTTGGGAGGCAGAGGCAGGCGGATTTCTGAGTTCGAGGCCAGCCTGGTCTACAGAGTGACTTCCAGGACAGCCAGGGCTACACAGAGAAACCCTGTCTTGAAAAACAAAACAAACAAACAAACAAACAGAATGCTAGGAAGTGGAGTCTCCCAAATACTTGACCAAAATCTCCCCTGTGGATGCTTTTCTCGAGGGCTTGTGCTCCCAAGGTCCACAGCACACTTCCACAAAGGCATGTACTTGAACCTTGCTAAGAGGTTGTGCCTGACCAACCAGAAACATAACTACATGTCCCTGGCACTCGCAGGTTAACAAGATTAAAATCAGGCACTTCAGATGCCTGGGAGGGAACAGGGGTCTGAACAGAAGAATTTGTCTTTTAGGGTTTTCTAGAAAACAGCAGGAAGAACGAACCAAAACCTAAAAAGCATATATTGTTCCTACATATTGTTTATCACACAAAATTCAGAAACTTTATGAAACATCTCAAACATAGCATCTCACCTGGTAATTATGGACTTCAGGATTTGTTTTAGAGCTAAAAAGGAAAAGAAAAACACCATTTAAAATGTTGTAAGGAAGCATCGATCTTTTTGACAGCTGTAACAAATTCTAAAGGCTTCGTACTACATCATGAAGGTCCACACACCATTTCTGTTTCTGTACCAGAGTTTACACAAACATATATAAGTGTATAATCAAGGAAGCCACAAACATCAACTTTCACTCCCGACTTTAAGGCTCACCAGCATAAACACCCAGTAAGATGCCAAAGTGCAGCTGGGACAGAGGTGGGTTTCCATGCAGAGTGCAAACCAAGGAGCTTCAGTTCCCACTGAAGGCCTTCCCTGGCACTGCCCCAGACCTACAGCTCTAGTGAGCTTCGTGCAGTCGGAGGAAAAGGTACCAGCCTCTTCAAGACACCTACCACAGACACTGTGGTAGGAATAACACATGGGTCCCTCGCACATAATGTCCCTGCTGTTGTTCTGGGCACTGGTGTTGAATGTTTTGTTCATCCAAGCCAAGCTTCTATCCTGTTATTATTTAATCTCCATAACAGAGTGATGAAGTCCGTAACGTTTCCTACCACCTCAACTCACAGACAAAGGAACAGCTGCCTAAGACTGAGAAACTTACTAAGGATCAGTGGCCAGTCAGTGGCTGAGCCAGGGGTTGATTCAACATCTGCTCAGACCCAAAGCCTATTTCCTTCCTAGCAAATTCATAAGCAAGAAATACTTGTAGCTTACAACCTTCTGAGAGTGAAAAGCATCTGAGGGTCTGTGGGAACGTTCAGAGCTCAAGTGTAATCTAATTTGATTAGAATCTTAATTAGAACTAGCTTGGCAAATACATAAACATACATACATACATACATACATACATACATGGTTGGAATGTATGTACACACACAGAGAGGCAAGCGGACTGACACACAGAGAGAAACAGAAATTTGTTGCATAAGACACAAACTCAGCACCTATCAGAAACCTCACCAGCACAGAACAATTACTGAACAGTCACCGTTGCTAGGGTGGCTGCTAGAGTGGCTGCTAGGGTGGCTGTTAGGGTAGTGAGCCTGGTATCAAGGTTTACTGCCTCTCAAACAAGGGGAGGGAGGCACCTTTGTTCAGAGTCTCACACCAGGTCTGCATTTAGTTTTCAGAGAGGACTGGCAGTAAAGCCAGGCTCTGATCCAGACCTCCTAGGCTGGACCTCAGCAGGAGGGTAAAGTGTTCTACAAGGTGCTGTTTTTCCAGCAGTACCTCTGCAGTTCCCAGCACAACTCCATTGTGGTCCCCACAGCAATTCCCCTCACCAGGATCCCACAGGCTGGAAAGAGCCATTGAACAGGTGCAAACAGCAGTTATTAGTTCATTTGTTCCTAAAGGGTATATTTACACAAGAGTTGTGTGCATGTGGCGATTTTTTTTATGTTTGTTTTCATTCCCAATATATAATCTCCCCTAGATTCTAAGAGAGAAATGTCATTTTATCAGGAAAATACAAACAAAATAATCATCTCCTAAGAAAGCAAGAAATGCTATAGCTTACAATCCCAAGAATTAAAAGTGGAACCTGACTAAAAAAAATGTCACGGGGCTGGAGAGATGGCTCAGCGGTCAAGAGCACTGACTGCTCTTCAAGAGGTCCTGAGTTTGGTGCCGGGCAGTGGTGGTGCACGCCTTTAATCCCAGCACTTGGGAGGCAAACAGATTTCTGAGTTTGAGGCCATCCTGGTCGACAGAGTGAGTTCCTGGACAGCCAGGACTACACAGAGAAACCCTGTCTCAAAAAACAAAAACAAAAAACAAACAAACAAAAACAAAACAAAAAAAGTAAAATTCTTTTAAAAAGATAAAAAAAATAAAAAGAGGTCCTGAGTTCAATTCCCAGCAGTCACATGGTGGCTTTACAACCATCTGTAATGGGCTCTGATGCCCTCTTCTGCTGTGTCTGAAGACAGTGATAATGTGCTCATATAAATAAATAAATCTTCTTTAAAAAAAAATGTCAGTAGTTGTCAGCACACTATCTGCAGAGACTCTAATTGCTAAAGACCCTGGAGACATGGGGCACGCATGTGCGTATATGTTTTCATACGGTCCAGGGTTTTCCTGCCCAACGAGAACATCATCTCATGAGTCTAGACACAGGCAGGGTCAGGAACACCTGTGCAAGGGAAGAAGCAGCTAATTCCATCCATGGGTCAACTATCACCATAGTCACTGACACTTATGAATAAAGTTTTATTAACAGCCATACTTGTTTACATATTGTCTACAGCTGCTTCAGTCCTACAGCTGCACTGAATAGTTCTGAAAGAGATATCATGGCCTAGACAATTCAAAATATTTCCTACCTGTCCCCTGATAAGAAGCCTGCAAAGTCCAGCACTGGAGATTTTCAGTCTTGTGACACATGATTTTCCTGCAGAAACTCTATACGTGGTTTATCTATTGCTTACTATTACATGTCTATGTGCATGATGTGTACGAATGCCATTGTGCACATGTGGAGGTCAGTTCTCTCTTTCTACCTTTACACGGGTTTCAGGATTTAATGAGTCCCGAGGCTTGCATAGCAAGCGCCTCTACCCATTTAGTCATCTTGCCAGCCCTCCAGTGGTGGTCAGTGTCTCCTAGCACCTGCTTGTCACTGGACAGGGTGGCACCTGTTGCCATGGAGCCTTTACTCAGGAGTGTGGTGTGCAGTCCCCACCTTTGCCTGCCACACACCATTACTGCACATGCGTGCATGTGTGCCTGCCACCTTACCACTTCGACAACAAACAGAGCTCTATGCTACTCAAACAAAGCAGCTGTTTTTGCAACAAGAAAGTCTTGGAACATTCTGTTGTGTGCTTATTGACAGCTGGGGGAGGATGGTGTAGCCAGGCAGCAGAAATGAGAGAAAAGAGTTATCAGGTGAGTCACCTGGGTTTAATTGTATTAAGGGAAAAGTCAACATTGCAAACAAACATGGTAATTAGAGGGGGGAGCTGTGCTGGGGCGTCTGGGGTACTTACCAGAGCTGAGCAGCAATCACTGGGTTGCTCGCTGTAAAGGAAGGACAGGAAGTTACGCAGAACTTTAAAACATTCACCACACAACAATACACAGAGATACTGGACAGGGACATCTCTCTCTGACTGCACTCCTTGTCTCAAGCCGGGCAGCCCTGAGCTCCAGCCACTTCTTCCTGAGGACTTGAACAGCCCTCTCTCTAACTCATGCTGTTTAGTCTAGGTCTCTAGGTAACTCTCAGAGCAGGCTCCCAGGGCTGGGCGTGCTGGTATGCAGGCACACAGGAGGCAACCATAGGTGAGTCCTTGCTCCCGAGGAGAATTCAGTCTGGGATGGAAAAGCAGTATAACAGGATGAAGGATGAAAGACCAGCAGGCATTTATGGGAGGACTTAGAGCAGGCATTTTTAATGAGGCAGAGACAGAGCCTGCAGGAAAGGGGGTAAATATTTATTCAACTATACTTCAATTTACATTTCTTCTTATGTGTGATGCTGGGAATTGAACCTACAACATTGCTACCACTGAGCTATATCCCCAACTTCCCCCATCTCCTCCACATACACTTTTCTTTTGACAGGGACAGAGTTTTATGTAGTTCAGGCTGGCCTCAAATACTATGTAGCTGAGGATGACCTTGAACTCCTGATCCACCAGGATCAAATCCAGGTTTTCATCTGTGCTAGGCGAGCACTCTATCATCCAAGCTACACCCTAGCTCTCCTTGCTTCCTTTCAAGAAGTGCATGCCAGGGGAAATCATTCAAAGCTTCACAAAGACAATAGCAGGCCTCTAGCTAGGAAAACTTCAGTAAGATAAATGAAGAAAAAGGATCTAGAGACCAGAAAGGAGGCTGAGAGGAGATCTTGGAGCCAGAGTCTAGAATAGTCCCAAGCTACCCAATGGGGTCTTACCATATGCTCTACTCCTAGGCCAGCTACAACGGATGCTTGCTCCCGTTGTGTGAGCATACACTTGTGGGGACTGGGTACTTACAACTATATCAAAATAGTGCTTTTTCTTTAGGAAGTTGTTTCCAGGATTGGTCTGTTTCTAGGTGCCTTTAACTCAATGGGCAACCTCCCCCAGCCACGCCCACCCACCCTCAAGCGTAGTTCTGCTAATGGAGGCAAAGGCTCTGAGGAGTTCTCAGGCCTTGCTGTTCCCTTAGACACCCAATGCTGTGTCTAAGACACCTTCATCACCCTCCCTTTGAATGTGTTCCCATTCCTTGGCCTTTCCTAAAGTTAAAGCCACATTTTCTGGATTCTCCTCTACTAAAGCAGCCAAGGATGACTTAAGACCTGTTGACTGTCATGCTACTGGGCAGTTGGCTCATACGAGAAGGGAACAGGGTAGAGGGAGACAAAGGCTGAAGATTCTAGGAGGCACAGGTATAGAAGCAAGGCTCCATTAAGGCCCATTAAATCCCAAGCTATCCAAGGAAAACTGTCTAGAATAGTCCTAACAAGTATAGGAAGGTAGCAGAGGCCACGATGGCCTTGTTGTAAAAAAAAAAAAAAAAAAGACAGACAACTTAGACCTAACTGGAGTGTGCAGACGGAAGAGCAATCTGCGTTGAGAAACGAGCTACACAGAGCTCCCAGCTAAGATTATAAAACCTGATTTAAATAGAATCAAGTCAGGAGTGCTCATGTATTGTCTGATATACTATGGTTTCAGGCCCCACACAGGTGTGAGCCACCTCAGTAAAAGACATTAGGTTCAAAGAATTCTGAACAGGAAGAGAGGAACAGCCCAGGGTACAGCTATATTCAGGGATGAGTATGTCTGGACCAACTATTGGGGACCTGAATTGTGTCCCTGCAAGTTGGGCATCCATTCTTCTGTGGCTACATTTCTGGTTAGCATGTGCGCATGTCCCCACCAGGAATGGCAAGGCAGTGAAGACACTGAATGCAGTACCTTCTATGGGCAAAGGTCCAAGCATAAACTAAGTAGAGAGGCACATTCGCAGGAAGACAGACAAGAGGAGGCAAAGGAACACACTGAGCAGGAGGAAGATTAAAGACCGGAGGGCACTAAGACTCATGATACTCTTTTTCAACAGCTTTTGAACAACAGAGAGTAACAGCGGTAGGTTCTTCCCCCTAGCAAGTGGACCCATAGACCCTGCTGCAAAATGTCAGCAAGGGAGGAACACTGTACAACCTTTGAATGTGGAATGTCGCCGGGATGGGTAACGTTTGCTAGGCTTCCTCTCAAAGGTGCTGGTTCTTCGCAATCTGGAGCCATGAGTAGCTTGATATTCCGTCCGTCCACTGGGAAGGAAATTATTTGGTTGCACATTAACGCCAACAACAGCTCTCAGCATACCATAGCTATTGCAAACGACTTTTTTTTTTATTTTATTTTTCAAGTGCTCCAGTGTGTATTTCAACTTAGGATGAAGTTGCCTGGTAAAGACATGCTACATTTAAAGCTTTTATTTGGAAATATAGCTTCCTTTGCCAAGCCAGGCACAGGGGCAAGAATCTCTTTCTACCAAAGGGAAAAAATATTGCAACTTAAGTACTACCAAGTAGGTTTGAGTCCTTGGATCATTTGATGAAGAAAACATTAATTAGACTCAGAATAACCTTTCAAGGAACACCATAGAGACACTTAGCATTTAATACCTTCTCCCAGGCTGTTGTAGCAGAGCCCCTAACCCTAAACCTTGGCTTCCCTTGCTGTGTGCCAAAGGAAATGTTTCTAACTTCATAAAGGCTTTCCAGACCCGACCACTGTGAAGGCAGCTGCAGCTTCCAGGAGGGGAGCTATGTTCTGCTGATCCACCCCTCGCTGCTCCAATCCAGTTACTCCTGGCTGGTGGTTTCTCAGATGGAAGGAGCCAAACGCTACCTGCTCCAGATGCCTCCAAGGGGCAACCTCACCTCCAAGCTTCCCTTCCTCTTTCTCCTTGAGGAACAAAGGTCGCTAGGTCTGAGCCAATTGGAACGTTTCTCCCCAGTAGGGAAAAGCCTGCTTGCTTTGGCAATCTCCTGGACTGCCCTCCCCACCCAGCTCCAAATCCACACGGATCCGAGCAGACTGCAGCGGCTCTGTGAACCTCTGCATGCTGACATTTCCATCCTCCTGGGGCCCTGTGATGCGAATCCTTTTCCTCAAGGACCTGGTAGTCTTCTTTTCCCCTTCCTTGGAGCATTTAAAAAATATATTCAAACAAAGACCATTCTTTAAACAGAAGCACACAGCCATTTCCTCGCACAGTGGATCAATCTGAAGCAAGCAACACGCCTGGCATTTTAAACAGAGTTCAGGGGCATGCCATGTGTGGGCAGAGGTTATGAAACCAAGCAGAGTCTCTATCATGTAACTCAGATTCTCAGACTCGGGAGTATATTTAAAATGTACATTCCAGGCTGGAGAGATGGCTAAGCGGGTAAGAATACTGGCTGTTCTTCCAGAGGACCCAGGCTTGACTCCCAGCAACCATAGAGCAGTTCCCTCTAGTTTTAGGACATCTGACACATTCTCTGGCCTCTTCAGACACCAGGCACAAACATGGTACACAGACATACATGTAGACAAAACATCCACACACATAAATAAATGAAATTTTAAAAATCAAAATGTGCATTCCAAAGGCTGACACACGCACATGTGTACATTCACAGACTCTGACTACGGAGGCTGCATGTTTTCATTTTTCACAGATGCCCCAGAAGTTTTCATGCATTCATCTTATACTCAAAAGCAAAATATGTGAGAATAAGTTATTTCTTTAGGCTCTTTTCAGAGCCAACACACACACACACACACACACACACACACACACACACACACACACTGCTCTCATCCTTAACCATTACCAAATCTGTGAAAGGAGACAGCAATGGTGAGAAATTTAAGAACCAGGACTGGAGAGATGACTCATCTTGTAAAGTCCTGGCACAAGTATGAAGGTCTGAGTTCAGATCCCCTGCACCCATGTACACAGCAAGGTGTTGTCTTCAATCTGTAATTCTAGCACTGGGGAGGGAGAGGTAGTAGATCTTTGGAGGTTTCCAGTCTATCTCAATCAGCAAGCCCCAGATTCAGTAAGAGACCCTGCCTCAAAAATAAAGATGGAGAGGAACTGAGGAAGAGACAGGAGGATCACAGGTTCTAGACGGGCCGAGGAAAAGACATGAAGAAGAGAGGGGAGATGGAAGAGAAACCACAGAGGAAAAGCCAGCCTGGCTGGCACTGCTCTCTACTCTACTGCTTACTGGCTGCTTGAGAGTCTGAGCCTATTGTAGATGGTAAAAACAGGGACACTTGATCTGCCTCAGGAAGGCTGCTCTAGGGTTTAGAGTGGGTTGTGAGGAGTTCTGGTGCAGCACAAGCCAACAAACTCTCCTGTGATGATAATACATGCTGTATCTGCTCTACCCATAGGGAGTCACTACCTCATGGGGCCACTGAACACCAGACACGTGGCTGGGTGAGACCAAGAACTATAGATTTCAATGTATTAAACAGTCATTCTCTTCCACAGCTTCACATAACCAGTGGTCACTGCACTGGACAGCATAGCTCTAGCTTTGGGCCAGATCCTGCCAATTCTGTTATTAGATTGATGAGCACACTTTACCCATAAATCCAAAACATTCATGGCCCCAGGCTCTAATATTTGCAATATCGAGTATCAAATATGCAAACAGTTCCAAACTGGGGAATATGTCAGCATCTCAAACGCTCCCAGCTCCAAGCACTTCATATACTGGCTCCTCCTCATCCCCAAGTCAGTTCCATTTTATCAGTAAAGTGATGGAAACCAACAAACTTCATAAAGGTCCTTAGCAAGGAGGTGGAGGTGGGGCAAACACCCCAAATGGCTGGACACAAATCTGCTGCTACCCTCATACACAAAAAAGGAGTTGTTGTCATTCTCTGAAACATGCGGTCCACGTCATAAAGTAATTGCCAACCTGAACCGGAAGCGGGAACCCAGCCGGATGAAGTCCGATCTGGTGGACTTGCTGTTGCTGGGTGTGCGCAGACGGAAGAAGGCATGGTGCTCCACAGCGCACTTCCACAAGTGCTTGCAGGTGCGCGCGCTGTCCAGCCTGAACACGAAGGTGTGCTCTTGCTCACGCCCCTGAGGAGGAAGCAAAGGTCCTCGTGGGGGCGCACGTCACAGGATTGCCGGTGAGCTGTATCAAGAAGGACTCTGGGGAGTGAGACCTACCTGGTCATCATCCTCCACTACTACGAGGGTCAGTTTGCTCTTTTTAAAGTCCATTTTGGTGATCTTAGGCCTGGTCAGAGAGAAAGCATTTTAAAAAGGGCAGTCCACAGCCAAACTGTCTACACATCAAACAGCTTCCTCTACTTATAAAAGCTTAGATTGGCTAAGAGAAGGAAATCATCACTCATTCACTTAAATATGATTATCTAGAAGTTCAGTGCACTGGCCACACACCCACAATGACAATAGGATGCTGTGACTTTTTTTTTTTAAAGCAAATCTGGGTGTAGCAAATACCCCTCAAAATCATCCATCACATAGACTTTCCAACACAAAATAGGAAAAGACATTTTTAATATTAGACAAAACTAAATTACCAAAAGAATAAGCCTATTTTGTTAGCTCCTTCAAAGATTAATATGCCTGTCGGGGTCAGTCCAAGAGAATATTCACAGCCATCTCTTCCCTACAAACAAACGAAGTGACAGTCGGTAGAGGGTTCTAACAGGTCGTCACAGAGAAGAATGTAAAAACAATTTCCTCACCAAAATTTACTTTGTTGGCACACTATACATTTTTTTTTTCAGAAACAGCAAAATAAAATGAAACACACGCAGTTCTTACCCTGACAACATGCATGTCCACCCCATACATTTCCAGCCACTTCGCTTTGTTCAGATAGGAGAGTTCCGCCTGGGCAGGGCTCTTTCCCCTTAGAAAAACCAATGGAGACACATGTAAACCGGGACTCACACAGCAGCAGGGGCGTGAAGGGCCCACTGTGTGGTAGAGGGTCACGCAATAGTTACGGCAACAGAGGGTACACGTTTATAAGGATGGGGAACAATCTCCGAGAACCCATGGTTGACTGGAATGGAAGACCACAAGATGGTGTGTCTTAGGATAACCTAAGAAAATGAGAGCAGGGGCCTAAGGCAAAAGGAAAGCTTGTTCCTCCTGCCCTTCCTCTAGGAGAAAGCAGTAGCATGTGAGGGAGTGGGTGGGACATGTTGACTGTACCTCTGCACACTTCCCTATCACTGGATGAAGACACGTCATGACATCTTTTATTTTAAAAGTCATCATAGGACTGAGGGACAAGAAAAGGTCATGCTAAGTGCCAGGTCCAAGAGTAACTATCAACGGGTGGTTTGTGGTGTATGTGCATGTGTGCGTGTGCGTGTGTGTGTGTAAGTCACTGAGAAACTGCCTTATTGGTCCAAGCAAAACAAAAACAAACCCATTAGACTAGGGTGGTGGCAGCAGGGAGACATGGAAGACATACACGCCATGCTGGCTCTCAGTGTACTGAGGGCTCTTCTAGACATGTAGTATTGTATGTCACCTGGTCAATGATGAACATTCTTTCCCACAGGGTGTCAGGCCAAGTGTGAGACCAAAAATGTCTGTGGTCCTTCCTTTCCTCCTGCTTCAAATACTAGTGTGAAGACAACAAGACACCCTGGAGGATAAGACCCAACTCTGAACATTAAAGTCATTTCTGCCACATTAGCCCGAGACATAGAGCTGAGAGGTCTTAGAGGTGATTTCATACATATTTAAAGATTGTTCCTATGATTAGATTTCATGCCTCCCGCAGGAAGCCAGGGGTAGACATTTCAAATGTGTCACCAGGTTGGTGTTCCAAAGTTTCATACTTTAGATTCAGGCTTTGGGAGGTAGGGATGCTCCACCTGTATTTCTAAAAGGTTTTGCTCTAGAACAGTGGTTCTCAACCTGTAGGTTGCAACCCCTTTGGTGGTCAAACAACCCTTTCACAGGGGCCACCTAAGACCATCAGAAAACACAGATATTTCTATCATGATTCACAACAGTAGCAAAATTACAGTTATGAAACAACAACGAAAAATGTTATGGATGGTGTCACCATAACATGAAGAACTGTATTAAGGGGTCCCAGCATTAGGAAGGCTGAGAACCACTGTCCTAGAAAGTTCTGTTTGGGAAGGACAGGACCTTATAAGTGCAGTGTCTCCACATTATCCACACTTGGGGTGTTACTAGCAAACAACGATCAAATTAGACAGAAGCTGTATGTATTTCAAAGTCAAAACTCAGCATGGCTTGACCTTTGCACATTTCTCAGAAAAAAAGGTGACATAGAGGTCTTTGGGAAATATGTATGAAGCACAGGAGAGAGGCTACAACCCAGAGCTGTGGCTTTCTGGTCATTAACTGAGCCCCTCTATGTGAGACAAAAGGCACTCTGTGCTGCAGAAGGCATGCAATAGTTTGTCAGAAGGGTCTGACGAACACAGCACAAAACAAAGAAGCAGTTCAGACCACGAGAGAGGCGCACTGAGGTACCTGTACTCCTTCCATCTCTGGAAGATATCGAACTCCATGGCTTCTGTCTGATTTGGGATAAACCGAAACTCAGACACAAGCTCTGGTGTGTGTTCTGGAAGCTCACACTCTCCTAGCTCCGCTGTGCAGTTCATAAAAGGGAGGAAAACAGGAGACATTGAACACTTCGGGTTATTGCTGCAACACAGTCCAAAGGTATTCTTTCTGACCATAAAGCACTGGTGCCCCTGATGTACAGCCCTCTCATTATCAGGTTCCCTCAGAGTCCCCGACAGTCACTCTAAAACCCTACCAATAGAGAAGTACACTGCCATCTTAGTCATCACTGTTCTTCTCAAGAAGTGCTTCTCCCACCTAGGGAGGCCTGGCTCACATTTCCCCAGGAAGTGGAAATTTGCAATAAAAGGCAATTGCAGGCAATGAGGATCTGCCCGTGAGCATCTTTTGCACAGGGTTCTTGTTAAGCATAGGTCAGAGCAACACGTTAGTGTCTGTAGGGCTGGGGAGAGTGGATCAAGAATTTGGTGCATGCAGAATGCAAGTGAGGGATAAAGGAGCAGTGAGGGAGGGTGAGCAGGCTGCAGGAGCAACTGCAGCAAGTCAAGCAGAACAGAGAAGGGGAGAAGGCAGATGCCTGCACCAGAGAGGGAGAGCAACAGGAGCCCGCCCAGCAAAGAGCCCAATGTGCACTGCATGGTTCTTGTTCTTGCCAGACCTTGAAACAGAGGGCCCAATGACACGGCGGCCCTATCCCTCTGGAGCATGAATGAGAAAATCCACTTTCCTCACCCCTCCCCTTCAGAATTCAGAATAAAAGGAACCTCCCAGTTTCCTCTAAAACCTGATCATAATAAGTGTGGGCTTCAGACTAGCTGGTGTAGATGTCACCAAGGGGCTAGATCACCATGCAGACTTGCATGCCCACCCAGAAGAGCCCAGTCACTGCCTTGTTTCACAAGACCCTCGAGAATGGGTGCACTGTCCTTAGAAAGACACTCTTGTTTTTGAATGTGGAATGTAGAAGAATCATTTGATAAGCTCATTAAAACATAACATCACTGGGCCCCATACCCAGAGTTGTTAATCTCGATGTAGACCCAGACCCAGAATTGAATGTAACTGTAACCTTCAACTTCTGACCCTCCTACCTTCTCCTCTTGAATGCAACATTATGCCCAATTTTATGTGATCCTGGAGATGAAAATCAGGATTTCATACATGCCGGCTAAGCACACTACCAATTGGGCTGCATCTCCAGTCCATCGAATTTGTACTTCTAATAGAACTCCATGTGATACTGACATAGCTAGCCTGGGAATGGGAGAAAACCTGGAGCCTGATGTCTCAAGACATCAAATCTACCAGTGGCTGGAGTCACACATGCCCAGGAACCTGGGGGAAGAGCAGCAGCTCACTACATAGCCACTATCTTCTCATCACCCCACTGGGCCATGTATAGCCAGCACGTGGCTTCCGAGGACCAAAATCTCACAGCCCAACTTTGAGGAGAGGGCTTCCATCTGACTTAGAGAATGGATAAAATGTCCCCATGACCAGGTGTGGTATGTCACATCCTGAAATCCCAGTAATGAGATAGGCTATGGTAGGTGGCTCCTGTGGTCAAGGTCTGGACAAGACAAAGTAAGATCCAGCCTCCGAACACGAAACAAAACAGTTCCATTCCTGCACAGGAGTCAATAAAATCAAACTCAAGGAGACTGTGCCTTTACAAGACAATGTCTGGCAGAGAGAGATGGCCTGATAAATACTTCTCCATTGGAATGCCACCCTCCATATCACTGAGACCCGAACATAAAGGAGTCTGGGTCAGGCATGCAGCAGCCTTTAACCCTGGTCAAGAGGACACACATGAAATTCTGTTCTAGAAACAATGTATAGCCAGAAAAGGGGTAAGATTGGGTTCTCCAAACTGGAGACCACCACTGACCTCGGCCCAAGAGGTCACTATGAAATGGTCCTGACAAGCCTTAAGCTTTGTATAGTCTAGAAAGATATTCCTTTGGTGTCTCCTGTACCCAACAGGGAAACATGACTCAATAGGACCCTGTGTTTACTGGTGTCCTAAATTGGCAGGATAAAATATGCCAAAGATACCAGTGAGAAAGAAGGCAGTGGCCCCTCCAGCCTTTGTTGTACTGAAGCAGGCCTGTGAGGAACAGCCTGGTCACAACACTGCCTTCCAAGAACAAGCTGAAAGAGCTTGGCACTCCAAGAATCTCCTAATTCTACAGCCAGGCTCTGGCTCCATGAAGGCTGTAGAAGGCAAAGGAAATAGCTCAGATGCAAGAGAATAAACTCCAGCTCCACAGCAGCTGTCTGTCCCAGGCAAATCACTGAGCTGTCCCAGGTCCAAGATCTCTACCCGAAACATGGAAATGGTCATGTGAACAGAACGCCATCATGCAACAGGTGATTTCATGTTCCTTTTATCCTCTCGCTTGGATAAATTTCCAAATCTACCACCCATGTATTCCCCAAAGATCACATCCTCCACGGAAGGCCACAGTATCTCAACTCAGGGGACATGATTAACTCAAGAACAGCACTAAGATATGCCTGAAAGGCTCAACCACCAGAAGGAACTCTGCCCTTCATTTTCTTCACACCAGAGTGAAGCTAGTGATCACACAGAGGGGCTCCTGGCTGGGCTACAGAGGACAGCATAGAGCAGGATGACAACCCGAGAAGGGTTTCCCTGTGTGTCCCTCAGTCTTCCAAGTATTTATCCATACCTGGCATGATGATCATCATTAAATTATACTACAGACGTGGGTAGTTTCTCCAAGAAAGGCTCTCATCTTTTGCTCTCATATTTTACTCTCATCTTTGCTTCTTTTACAGACTCGCTGAAGCTGGACCAGTGAGGGCAGGGATGTGCCTCCTCCTCAAATCACTCAGGACAACAAGACAAGCTTAAAACACTGTGCCAACAGCCTCGGGAGGAAGCTTCTACAGTGATTAATGGCCCCAGGCCTGACACGGGTGCTTGGGTGCTTTCCTTTCATTAACACCATCCTGACAGATCCTTCAGGGCTGCCAAGCCTGACTAGGCCTCTTACAGCTTAGGAACCAGTGTACATGAAAGCTACTGTCTGTGCTGGTAAAATCTGCATCTGACCAACAAAAGAAGCCAGGAGCTCTGCCATGATCCCAACTCTGCCTACACTGTGGCACTCACCATAAGGCCTGCTGCATCAGACTGCACAGGGAGAGGAAGCCTGTAGCTCTGTACTTGACACAGTTGGCTTTAGAACGAATTGCTGTTACCATTACCACAGGGCTCTGGAACTACACTGAGGGTCTCTCCAAGCTCATTCCTCTATTTGTTCTTCACTTACTGAGCATCTGCTGAGAGGTGACTAACGACTGGAAGTATTCAGGAATGGGAAAATGCTCATCAACAAAATATCTTCACGGATATAAATGTGACACCATACAGTGACTAAATGTAGCAAGCAGGGCCAGTAATACGCCTCAGCAGGTGAAGATGCTTGCCACCAGGCCTGAGGACTTGAGTTCAAGGCCCATGACCCACATGTAGACGAGGAAGGACTCCTGAAAGTTGTCTTCTGATCTCTGCACACACACTAAACTAAAATGTAACAAGAATACTAAGAAACAACACACACAAAAGAATCTGTATTATTCTAATCTGAGTTACACTTCTTACCAAAAAAAAAAAAAATCTGAACTCATTAACAGAAGATGTAGGTGCTGGGTGCTGGTAGGCTGGGATGTCATGTCCTTTCTTTGACCTGCCTGGCTTCTGTGCTGTTCTACCCGGAGTCTGTAATCAGTGTGATCTGATCTGTGATACCTCTCAGATCAGCTCTTCTTAAATTAGTAAACTCTGAGCTGGTGAGATGGCTCAGCAGGTCAAGGCACTTGCACTAAGCCTGACAACCTCAGGGGGATGTTCAGAACCTACACATGAAAGCAGAGAATGCACTCTCCAAAGCTGTCCTCCGACCACACACCCAATCACAATTAGAAAAATGCAACAATAAAAGCTGTATCTTTTTATGGTGCTCACAAATACCATGAGTGGATGTGTCACCGATGATGATCCAGGGAAGCACTGACAAGCACATGCTCATGGAATCCTGTTCTCTTAGGTAGCTCTGGAGACTTAAGCAAGTATTTCCTGTGCATTTTAACCGAAGATCCACCGGCCCTTCCCACAGAGGAACAGTCAGTGTGGATGGTCCTGTAGGCTGACCTCCTGCCTGCCAGTTCCCACTTGCATGCCAGTAACTTCAGCACGTCTTGGCCAAAGCCCACACAGCCACTTCTCCACAGGAGCCTCCTTCTCCTCTGCTCACTCGCCACCACCTACCCTCAGCAGCAGCCTGAGTCCTCCCACCCCTTCCTCACCTCAAGGCTCATCAGAGAATCCAGCTCCTGGCACTGACGTGAGGCTGCATTCATTGTATGCACACCCACCTGTTCTGCTCAGGTTCTTACTACGTCTGTTACGGTAACAGCCCTTGCCCTCCCCAGACCTAGCCCCGCTCCAGTTCCTTCTTTCCACACGGCCTTTCCAAAATACACACCACCCAGGCCTGCTGCCTCAAGAACGCTCAAAGAACTGCTGCTGACCTCATGAAGTTTATATTCTTTAAGTGGGACCAGAGGCTGTTCGGCAGTTCACACTGTGACTACACACTTACTGTCCCTGTGACTTTCATTATTGTTTGTTTGCTGGCTTTTTGGTTTTTTGTTTGTCTGTTATTTCTGGGCTGGGGTCTTATGTAGCCCAGGCTAACCTCAAACTTGTATCCACTTAAGGATGACTTTGAATTTCTGACTCTCCTACCACTGACTGTGGAGTGCTGGGGGGTAGACTCAGCCGAGTTATATGTCTATCAGCCCCTTATTATACAATCCCCACACCCACATGTGAGGTACTAGGCATGGAACCCCAAGGGCTTGTGCTTGCAAGAGCCACATCTCCACTCCTCTCTGTACTTTCACCTTGGTTCTTCGAGTCATCTTCCTCCCCACATCCCCCATGGCCCTCCCTCTCCCAAGCCTCCTGTGTATCTCTGCTGCTAGAGAACTGCCATAAACTCTGTGTGTTTTCCTCAGCAGACTGCAAGCTCCTGGGGACTGAGACCACATCATGTGCCTTTACACCCTGGGAGAAAGCGGGGCACCGGGCCTGGCATACATTCTCACTTACGGAAACGAAAGCAATAACGTCAAGATGCTAACTGTCAGGAAGGAAGAATGTACCTTGTAGACAGAGGGCAGCTAGTTCCACAGCTGTTTCATAGGGGCACTTCAGTCTTGGGAGGAAAAAAGAAATTAATATTAGATATAGGAAGGTTACAGTGACAACCATATAATACATGTCAGTAAAAAAAAAAAAAAAATCCTGTAAAAGTCAGCAGTATCTACATATGGCTTCTGATGCTAATCCTTTATATTTTCAGTGTCTACGTTAAAGAACAGGAAGTAACATGGCAGTTCTTAACATATTTATCCAAATATACATTCTATCAACCATGCAGACGCTTCTAATGAACATGGAAAGAACTTGGAATGTTTTAGGAAACAAAGTGAAAACCTTTCCTTTGTGTTGTTATCCTAAGTTTATTTTCTCTCAATACAGTCATTTGTCTTTTCAAGCTGCCTCAATCTTCCTTAAAACAATGTCCCGGGGGTAAAAACAAACACACCAGCACTATACACACAACTTCCAAGACCTCTGGACGTATTCAATATCTACCAGGTCCAACTGAGGCAGAACTACTGAAGAGTATTACTCCAAACACACTGATTTTACTCATACAGTAAAACCTCGAGTGAAGCCGGCGCACTCCCATTCTTTTTCTAGATGAGAGAGTGAGCCTTCAGCATCCCGCCCAAGGTCTTGCAGCTGATGGGAAGCAGTGCTGGCTCACAACACTGTTTCAGTTACATGCTAACTAGTTGGGTGGAAGTGGAGACAAACTGCGAAGCACTAGACACAGATGAAGCACCCACCAACCACGCTTTTACAAACTGAAGACAAGTTCTAGAGTTACAAGGCCTTTAGTATGATGAGCACAGAATGGACAGAGATAAAAACATACACATGCTCAGCACACACCAACCAGAAACTACTGCATGGCTGAGGAAGGCCAACGTACACCCTGCACAGCCTACTCATTCCATTACCTCTCTGCAACTGAAATAGTCAGAGTGCATTTCCTACCAAGAAGTTACAAACACAGAAATTACATTTTAATTCAAATTTTACTTATTTATATAACTCATTTATATTTGGTTTTGTTGTTTGAGACTGGGTCTTACTTTGTAGCTTTGGCTGGCCGAGAACTCACTAGGTGGGCCCGACTAGTCTCAGACCCACTGAGACCCTCCTGCCTCTGCTTTCCTAGCTCTGCAATTCAAGGAGCGGGCCACCACAACTGGCAGAAATTATCCATTACATTTCCTTCACATTACATTTCAAATCAGAACATATTCCTGTTGATGATATCAGGAACTGCTTCTTAGTTCTAATATAGCCTCACGGTTTTTTTTTTTTAATGTAACAGGAAATATTCAATAACTTGCTAGAAAATGATAAAAGCTAATTTTAAAAAAATCTTCTTTACATTTATTTATTCATATAGATGGTGCGTGCGTGCGTGCGTGCGTGTACGTGTGTGTTGAGGTAAGGGTGGGAGCATGCACATGCCACAGCACATGTACGGAGGACAGAGGACAACTTTCAAGCCCAGGGATTGAACTCAGGTCTTTAGGGTTGGCTGCAGGAGCTTTTGCCTGCTGAGCCATTTTGTCAGCCTTCTTTTTCTATTGATGCTTCCCTCAAAACCAACCACTTCAGTGATGATGTGTTTTGTGCTTCATACTCACTACAAGCCTAATGCCTCGAGTTTAAAGAGCATTTCAGTGAGATGGGAAACCCACAGCTCCGCCTCACAGGTCAGACAAGAACCTCTTTACATTGCTTTAGTGTGGTGTAATAAGTGAGACTGTAAACTGCACAAACACTTGCACATGTATACATGCTGACGGTGTGTGTGGCTTGCAAATACGACAGAAGCCAGTATGAATGGGGCAGTGATGTGGTAGGGAAAAAGCAGTTCCCAAATACACATCACTCAAGATCCTCAATGCCCTTGGAAGTGCTCCAAGCCATGTAGGAATCGCTGTAAAACAGGAGGAAAATGACAGCTTCGCAAGTATCCGACTCATTTGACAGAACCTGGTGCACTGCTTTGAATTGGTAAAGGGACAAGGGTAAAAGACTTAAAATAGTGCACTGTTGAGGTATACCATGCTCTCTGCTGGATTAAAAGTTAGAAAAGCATACTTACTTTCCAGAAAGAATGTCATGCCTGAGTTGTAAAACAAACAGGTACCTGACAAACATATACAAAAGTCAACAGAGGGGAACCCTTCCCTTCCCCAGCCGCCTCCAATCCCCAGCCTCCCATCACAAATACCCCTGCATGTGCCCTGGATTTCTGCACTGTCAAAGGGAGTCCAATGCAAATGAGGAGGAGGGAGTCTCCTTCTGAGCCTGTGGAAAGGCATCCCTGATCTCAATGAGCTGGGAATGACATGGGGACTTTGCAAGATACTTGTAGGATGAAGCGCAGATGTGGTCTGATGTGACTTGCAGGATGGCTTTGGTGCAGGAGAGTCTAGCCCAACAGGCATGGAGAACTCTGCACAGGCATGCAGTGTATCTAAGAAAATGGGCTGGGCAGAACCACTGAGCTGGCACCTGGCCAGCTATACCTAGCAGATCCTAGGACTTTTTCAAAAAGTCTGCAACAGACTACAGAGTCTGCTAGAAACTACTTGACACTTTCCTTCCTGGTGCAGTTTAACTGCTGACTGTCTTTAAAACAAACAAACACGCAAACCATGCAACACACAAACACACACTCTCTCTCTCTCTCTCTCTCTCTCTCTCTCTCTCTCTCTCTCTCCTAGAATTACACTACAAAGAATTACAGAGATAATAAGAAACGAAGAAAAGAGGCAAAAAGCATAAGGAGGGCTCACTGAGTTAAAAATAGAGGTATCTGTCTTAAGTAAAAGTCTTTTATTTCTAGGACGATGTGGCCACCAAAACCATTTTGTACCAACCAAAGCCTCCTACACTCTAGGCCTATAGAGTTAGGATTCTACTCTTGAGAGTGGTCCCCAGGAATCCCATTTGTTTTTTGACTCACATGTCCACCTTAAAAGTGACCTGCTCTGGTGACAGGTAGGGACCTCCAAAGAGAAACACTGAAGTCACTTAATGAGTTGGACCTTGGAAGCCATGTGGGCGTTCCTCATCTGTAGAATGGCTATAGGAGACTTTGGATGGTCCAGAAATCAAAGTGGGCAGGAAGGCTGAAGGTTCTACCTCATTCCAGAAAGTTCTGCTTCCCAGCAGGTCCTTAATTATAACTGAACTTACACTTCTTAAATTTAGGACACCGACATGTATAGTTGCAGCACTAACTACAGCATGGTGTCCATGTGGCCAGAAGTTTTGATTCCCATAGAGAAACCCTGGAGGAAAAGCCCCAAAGGCCCTTGTCATGGGCTTGAATAATAACTTTCAAATGTCACTTAGTCTCCAATTAGCTGGCTACCAATGTAGACCACCCATCAATGTACAAGTCACTGCTATAATGCATCACACAAAAAAATCAGTGACAAGGACACTCTGAGGATATCAAGAACTCCATAAAGTATTCCACAGATGGAAGGGAAGCTCTGTATCCCAACCCTGGTTTACATTCTCCCTTTCTTCTATATTGATTCTGAAATTCAAGAAGTAAACACAGGCACTCACAACATAAAAATATCCAGTGGGGCTAAGAAGAGATATAAGTGGGTCCTAACAAAATCTTTGGTGACAGAGCTGTTTATGTGAGGGGTCCTCTAATTGGAACAATCAGAATGTTTTGCAACACCTCAAAAAAAGAAGAGGAGGGGGGAAGGTGGAAGAGAAGGAGGAGGAGGAGGAAAAAGAAGAAGAGAAGGAGGAAGAAGAGGAGGAGGCAATTCCTGACTAAGAAACCTCCCAATATATGCTTTTGTTGTTAGTAATGGAGACAAAGACAAGATGCCGAAGATGAGCCTACCACTTCCCAAGGTCCAAGAAAATCCATCTAATCTGATTCATATGAAAAATACCAAAACAAGCAGACGTGTAGATTTTTAACAGGGTAGAGGAGCCCGGGGAAAGTGCTAGTAACTTCTGCTTAGAAACACAGAGGACTAAAAAAGAATCAATCAAGCCCCTGACTGAGTAGATTCCCCTATACTGGCTGAGGTAGGGGCTACTGGGCAGAATCCTCTCTGCAATATCCTACCTTGTATATTCCTCTCGAAGGTTGTTTGGTTCTGAAGAATAGTATTTGACTCGAAAGTGCAAAGCATAGGCAGGTCCAACTAGACATTTGGAGACAGAAAGGTAAAGATGTTTATCCCCCATCAGACAAAAGGAAACATTCCACTGATAGCAAGCTCACTGCTCCATCTGGAGTTGGAAAGATGGAACCAAACTTGTAGGTTGCCTGGGAAGATTTAGCTGGGAACCTCATCTGGCAGGAAACCCTGCCTGGGTGGGTAACAAACAGCTGGCGTTTCCCTTTTATCTCTGATGGGATTACTCCAAACTGGCATCCACATTATACAAAGTACAAAGTGGGCAGGAGGCTAGTGACACAGAAGGAGCGAAGTACGCTGCGTGTAGAGACACCGCAAAAACATCGTAAGGTATTTTTAAGAGGATATGATCTCCAAATGATCTAAGGATAAACAGCATTAGAAACTCATGGCTACCACACCTGTGAAGAACAAGCTGGAGCCTTCCTGCTTCCTACTCCCCATCCTGAATCTGCTTTGAAATGTACTTGGCAGTGAGTAAAGGAGGTGACAGGTTTTTGAATAGAACATTAGTCAGTTCTCATTGGCGGGGTGTCTGATTTGAAATGAGAGCACAGGTGGGTTTTAAGATCTACCCAAAACACTCATTCAATTTTAAAGCTCTACTTTTTGGCCGGTTTACAGGAAGTAAAAACCACTCATTTAACATTGGATCTACTTACCAATCAAAATATCTCAAAAATCTTGACAAAGCTGTTTACTGTCAGATTTTTTACAAAAGAAAAAAAAAAGACAGGAATAGACTGGAGTCTGTGTCTTACCTTTCATCTGTTTCCTTATGGGTTTCGAGTGATCCAGCCAGTGCTGAAAGAAAGACAGTGTTTCTTTAGGAACCAAGTATGTACTCCTGGAGTTCCCCTCCTCTACAAACCTGAGTGTACTCATAAAGACCTGAGACTGAGTCAGATCTTGAATTCCTCCCTGGAGATCTGCAAACTGCTAGGTATGACACTGAAAACTTCTTTGCTCAGGCTGGAGAGCTGGCTCAGCAGTTAGGAACCCAGGTTTAGTTCTCGGCACCCACCTGGTAGCACTACATCACCAGCTTCTAAGGGAGATCTGATGCCCTCCCTTTTCTGGACTCTTTAGGCACTGGGCACATACTGCACATATATACACGCAGGCAAACACTCATACATATAAAAATAAAATAAATATTTTTAAAAAGTCTTTTGCTCACCAATGACTGGGCCAATTTAAGACCCATCCTGTGGGCAAGAATCAATCCCTGACACTATTAATGATAGATACTCTGCTATGCTTGCAGACATGAGTCTAATATAATTTTCTACTGAGAGGCTCCTCCTAGCAGCTGACCAAAACAGATGCAGAGATATAAAGCCAAACATTAGTTGGAACTTGAAAATTCTTGTAGAAGAACTGAGGGAAGGACTGAGGAATCTGGAGCAGATGGAGACTCTACAAGAAGACCAACAGCGTCAACTAACCTAGACCCAGAGACTGAACCACCAACCAAAGAACATACAAGGGCTGGGCCCAGCCCCACCCCACCCCATGCCCCCACGTATGTAGCAGATATGCAGCTTAGTCTTCATGCAAGTCCCCCAACAACTGGAGCAGGGGCTGTCTCTGACTCTGTTGCCTGACTGTGGATCCTGTTTCCCTAACTGGGCTGACTTGTCTGGTCTCAGTGGGGGAGGATGTGCCTAGTCCTGCAGTGACTTGATGTGCCAAGGCAGGCTGGTACACAGCGGGGACTGCCTCCTTCTCAGAGGAGAAGGGAAGGCTGTGATCAGGATGTTAAGTGAATAAATAAATTAATGGGAAAAAATAGTCTTTGCTCAGATTAGAGAGATTGCTCAGTGTGTAGTTAGTGCTTGCTTTGCAGTGAGGCTGAAGAAATAGCTCAGCAAGTAAGAACACTGGTTGCCCTTCCTGAGAACCCACGTTAGATTCTCAGTACCCACAGGGGTTATAATCATCTGTAACTCCAATTTCAGGGGCATCCAACACCCTCTTCTGACCTCTGTGGATGGTGTACTCATATGGTATATGACATACATATTCAGGCAAAGCACCATATAAATTAAATGAAAATAAATTAACATTTAAAGCGTTTGCTCTAGGATTCCCAGAACCTACAGAAAAGCCAGACAGGTGTAATGGCTACCTGTAACTCCAGTTTAGGAAGACAGAGGATTCCCAGAGTGAGTTCACTGATAAGATTATCAGTATCTGTGAGCTCTGGGTTTGATTGAGAGACCCTGCCTCAATGAGTGAGGTGTCAAAGCAATATCAACCCTCCATCTGTGTGCCCACACATATGCAAACATACATATATACACACACATCACATGTAAATAGAAAAAGAAAAACAAATAAATAATTTGCTTGTGCTTGTAAGTATATTTTTTTCTACTAACCAAAGTTTCCCTAAGTTTTTGAAAAGAGGTCAGAAAGCCTTGAAGAAACTGATCTATAAAGTCCCTTCTAAAGATTCTGAGTTCCTGGTGTTATAATCAATCTTCCCAAGTAATTCCAGGTCTCCACCAATCTAGCTAAAATGACAAACTCCATGCTAAACTCGGATTATATACCAGCCTGTGGTTCTAACAACCTCAACTCTGACATCAGGAAAACAAAGTCTCTGGCCTCCTTCACTCTTTTACACTCGTGGACCCCCACCACTGATAGGAAGAGGCAGATGGCTCAGCTGTGACCAGGGAGGAAATTTCAGCTGTTCCTCTAGTTCACCAGGAAACCTACCTCAGTTTTATCTGCCTAAGGAGGTTACAAAGCCTTTTCTCTAATATAAACATTTATGTCAAAATTGTTGACATGCTCCATAGTCTAACTTCTACAGGAAGCTACAGATGAGAACACTATAGAGATATATCGCCCAGATAAATCCATCCACACCAGAAAACATTGTAAATTAAAGACGCATTTAATCCCTGTGGCCTGCATATCCCGACTGGAAACACAGCAGACCACAGAGTGTTAGTTATTTATGCCTGTGATTACCTGGTTATCCCTGGGATCTCAAGACAGAAAAGCACTAGCAATCAACAACCCAGAAAAGGTCAAAAATCACAATCTGAAGTCTGGTCTCTACTGAATGCTCATGGTTTCCGTAGCATCATAAGCTGAGCTTTCATGAATCAGAGGCTATCTGCACTGTGCGTCTCTCAGACCACACCCTAATGGAGAGGGCTATGTGACTGACAGCTTCTGCTTTCTGTGAGAGGCTCCAGGTGTGGTACTTAGCATGGTCTTCCTGGATTGAAAAATAACAAGTGTGACTTTCAGAAAATTTTATTTTATATGTATGGGTGTTCTGCTTGTATTTACTTCTGTGAACCATGTGCATGCTTGGTGCCCAAGGAGGCTAGAAGAGGCTGTTGGATCCCCAGGACTGAGACTACAGATGGTGATGAGCATGAGGTGCCAGGGATTGAAGTCCTCTGGAAAGGCAGCCAGTGCTCTTAACTCCTGAGCCATTTCCCCAAACCCAAAGTGTGAATTGTTTTTTAAAAGGGGGATAGACATGTTCACTATCACTGTAACTAACTCAATGCATACAGAGCTTCACTGTTATAAAAAGAATTGGAATAAAACAGGCCAAGTAGGTTTCTCTCCAGCTATTCTGAAGCAGAGGTTAATTCTGCTGACTACCGGGGACTTGCAGAAGCAATCTACACCGTGCACATGTTACTAACGAGAAAGGGAGGGGCTGAACGAGCACAGTGTACTCCACACCTAACCACAAAGCCTGAGAGGACTGTGTGGGAGGAGGAGGGTGTGGAAACACAAAAAAGCACATAACAGATGAATTAGAATACAATCAGTGTGCACGATGTGCTAAGGAGCCGAGGATGTGGGCCTCTGTCATCTCTACTAGGCTGGGTAACAAAAGCAGATCACCACAGCAGGGCGCCTATCTCAACACAGTGGCTGGGATGCTACATCTCATTGTTGATAGCTTTGAATTGGCAATGACCTAAATGTCCATCAACAAAGACAGATTCAAAAATGGTTCATCCGTATTATGCACTATTATTTTTAAAGGATGTAGGCTGAATATTTACTGGTGTGACAAGAGACCCACAGCACATTGTTAAGGTAGGAATACGAAATCAGGTAGGATCCTGTTTACAGAAAATTATTATTTTCTATCAAGGCATGTCCAGAAATATTTGTATGGGATTTTTTTGGAGAGGGTCAGGGATGGTAGGGATGTGAATGTCATTTTCTTTTACTTTTCTGAACAGCCTTTTATTTTAATGAGACTATTATCTAGTGTGGGAGGGTTGTCCTTCTTGGATTTATTCATTGTTTGCCTATTAGGCATGTTTATTTTTGTATTATGAGGCAGGCTCTCATGTATCCCAGGCTGGCCTCAAACTCTGTGTAGCCAAGGATGACCACGAACTTGTGATCATCTTACTTCCATCTCCTGAGTGCTTGGCAATGCACGTACGTACTATGTAGGTACGCACTATGCAGGTATGCACCACCACACCCAGCGTGGGATGGGGAGCATCCAGCCCAGAGCTTGCTGCAGCCTAGATAACCAGGACAACATCCATGCCACATCCTCAGCTCTGAGCTAGGAAATTTTCATTAGGAATTTGCAGAACAAGAATTAGACCTCACCATTGCCCTTAACCATGCCAGAACCACCACTCCCCAACCTCATTCTGGGAAAGACAGCCAGAGAAAGGACAGAAGCATATTTAAGTTCCTGTCAGGCATCACACTAACGTCTATGACCAAACGTGTACTTAATAAATTCACCATTCCCAGGCACCTTCCGGTGCCTGTAGCCAGCCTTCTAGTCTAAGCAGCTCCAGACACCCACAGCTTAAAGGAACCCGGTTCCTTCTTTCTCCTGTCTCCTTTCCATTAGTCTGAGTAGATCAAGTTCGAGCCCATCATCCCTCTCGCTCTACTGTTAAGCTCTCACTTCGATCCTAGCCCAACTTGTGTGGTTTTGTTGGCTTGAGTTTCAGCTCTGACTGTACATTACAGTGCTGGAAAGACTAAATGAATGAAGCTGATACCCAGGGGTCACACAAAACTCACCAGCCCCCTCTGAAAGCATCCGTTTCACAGATGCGCCTAGTGTGCCGTTCAGTATCTACTTCTTACTCATCCATATTTTCCTCTATAGGAAGATGCCCTATGGATCTTAAAATGTCTTCAGCTCGATGTGAGCTCTATAAAATCTCAAGTAATTCCAGGGTTTATGGGCTAGACCAAGAGGGGAGATGGCCAATTGTCCACACCTGGGGCTAATGGAAGGGGAGAAGGTTGCCAGACGCTCATATGTGCAGCAACCAGCTCCACCCTGGGGCCACACTGCTAACGGGATTCCCTGTATCTATCTTCATGGAGGCTTCATCCTTTGCATCGAAAGTGGGGCTTGCCAAGACAGAGTCTAGAAAACATCTGAAGCTGAGAAAGAAGTCAAAGTGAACTCAGTATTCTGAAGCTCCTTGACCCATGGGATTTTTAAGAACAGGGTTGGTGGCTCCATGGGCGACAAGAAATCTATGATCCTGAAGCAGAGATGAGAAAGCTTATCTTGTATCCAACCAGCTCAAAAGTGACCTGGCTTTCTTCTCAGCTGCAAAGGCTTAGCAGGTGCTGATCACTGGCGCCACATCCCACAAGAATCCCCCTCTCTGTGACTTGAATACCGGAGCAACAAAAGACCTGGCATTTAGAAAATTGTATGCCATGAACATCTTTGAGAGCTGTATCCAGCAGTAGCAAGACCTGTCTGGCATGTTCACCTGCATCTTAGCTAAATAAAGCAGACCATCCATCAGTGAAGGCTA